TTATTTTACTGAATCAATTTTATTAAACATATTAATTATATTTTTATAAGAATTAAAAATATAATATGAACTATCAATTACGTTTATTCCTTTAGTTAATTACTTTGTTTAATTTAATTAAATAATAGTCAAAATTAAAGATTTTAGAGTATTCTCAAAGTGCCTAATTTAATAAATCGAAGAAAAAGTTTTGATTATTTTATTTAAATAAATAAGTTTAATATAATAGTACAAATTTAATTAATAACTTAGCTAAGTCTTAAATTTCAATCTTTGTAAGGTTAGATACAACTATAATAGCAGGTTATTCTTAACAAAATTGGTATCTTTGCTATTTTTTTTTCTAATTCTTATATCTTATTCAAACTTATCATTATTCTTTTACAATCTAGTAATAAAATTAATTTCAATTTTTAGCCCAACATATATATGAATAAATATTTAATATATTTTGTTTTTTAATATATTTCAGTATTCTGTTTTTTATTAAAAAATGATTTTGCACTAATTTAGATATTTTTCTAATAACAGTTCTTTATATAGGCTTGTAAAATGATTATGATTGGTTATGAGAGAACTTGGTTTGATTTGGTCGATCATTAGGCCGGATGATATACAACAACAAAATTAAAACCATAATTTTTTCAAAATAGTGATTTTTATGATTTGGTGCATTTCTACTAACTTACCCCCATATCTTGGTATCTACCAGGCCAATTTTGATACTTTAGCTACTATTAGTTATATCTTGACAAGCTTTGCAAAAGTTTCTTAAATTAAAAAGATGATTAACTTATTATTAAAAAAGTTTTAAATAAGTATATGCCTCATTTGGAAATCTCTAATTTTTATAAATAATTTGAATTACATTTTACTATAATCACTCTCTGGTTAACTAGTGGATTACCAATTAAAGTTCTATACAAACTGTGTCGCAAAACATATTTTGTGAATATCTCATTATCTAGTAATCAAATTTTAACATTTTTGATACCATTTAAGGGTAGGGTAAATGTAGATCATTTCTTATATAAGTAGATCAACCAAAAAAATATTTACAAAATCGAACACATGTTATATATAAAAGTTTTTAAAAATGTAACCGATTTTTATAAAAGTTTTAGGGTAGATAGATTAGACCCTTCTAATTCTAATTATAATAATTTGAACACCTGTATTATTTTAAAAAAACATACTTGCATATATCATTAATTCTTCCTAGGTTGATCAAAATTTGTCTAGATTACACAATATAAATATCATATAATCATCACCTGATTTCAATTAAATGTTATTGTAAAAAAATTAGTAACATGATCATTAGTAAAAATGATCGATGTTCACCTTACCCTTAAACAGTCTTATTAAAAGAAATCAAATAGTATCAAAATCATCAATTTTGAACTACAAGTTAGTGAGATTATAAAATAGTTGTAAAATCTACTTAAACACGATTATTTTATGCTCCAATGATCCAAAATTAATAATTTTAGTACTATTAGATCTGCCTTATTGAGTAAAATTGAATGGTACTTGTTTTGTTAAATTTGGAGTATTGCATTATAAGATATCATAAATTTTGCTAAAAAATTCTATAGTCACAAATCTTTGCAGATCTGCATCATATTTATTTTCCTAATGTATATAACCTACACCACTTACTATAAAGCAAAACAATAATAATAAAAGTCATCAACTTCACTTTTAATATAATTCATATACAAAAACAAAAAATGAGTAATTTGGCTTATCTTAGTCTATAAATCACTTGGGATTATGTAATACTTATATGACATCTATAGCCCAAACTACTAATATAACAAATCTTAAAAAAGCCAAGCCTGTTCTCTACTCCAGACTCAATAAAAATATTTCTACAGTTAGATCAAAACAAACTAATATTAACTAAACTAAACCGCCAAATAGGACTAATATTACAACAAATAGAATTTTTTTTTTTTAAAGATAATCTTGTTACTACTTTATTATTATTATTATCTATATGATTAAAGAATGTATATTAAAAAAATTAAATAAATGCAAATTTGCAAAAATCTGAATTTTTGCAGATTTTTAAATAATTGTTGTAAAAAATCTGTAAAATTTTTTAGAATTTGAAGTTTTGCATAAAACTTTATTTAATTTTTGTATTTATAGTATCAAATTTGATTTATGATTTAATTTTTTTTGCAAATCTGTGCAGAATTGCAATAAAAAAAATTCTTGATATACATATATTATCATATTATTTATTTCTAACTATAGCTATTACTACTTTATTAATAAAGTACAACATTATACAGTTACTATATAGCACCTATATGCAAATAATTTCTGTAGAGTTTTGCCTTCTTAAGTCTTTATAGTCTATCTTAGACCACAAATTCCTAATTTACTAGCATGGTTCTACTACCTATTGTTACTCATATATATTCTACATATATACTATTATACAAATTCTACTAATTAAATTTCATCTTTTCTATATATAGCATTACTTCCAAACCACTTCTTGTATTACTTCCAAATTGGTATCCTAAAGGTAGGTGCTTTTGTTACTTTCAGTTTTGTGTTTCCAGAGTTTTACTTGCTTTTTTAATCTATATCTCAAGCTACATACTGCCACCATCTAAAAATTCATATCTCAAGCCACATGCTACCACCATTAGAGGTTCTACTTTTGTATTTCTAGATATTTCTGTTATATACTACTATATTAGACTACTATCTTGTTTATAGTACTACTATTATTTATAGTATTACAAAAGTCTAAATTCTTAGAACAGAAGTTAAGAGCTTCATTTAATTACTATTACAATTTAGTAATTTGGAATCTTATACTTCTGTTATGCTTTGTCTTATAACTTCTATACTAGTTGTGTGATTATTACCTACTAGCCAAATTTTTTTGTATACTACTAAGATTATAAATAGCACCAAAATTGATTTTCAAAAAAGGCCTATTTTATCTCTATTAAAGCAAATTAAAATTTTTTATAAGAAGAGCAAATAAAATTTATATATTTATACTCTTTATAATTTTTGTCTATTCAAAAAAAGTATCAAAAAATTTTATCTTTTAAGTAAAATAGGTCAAAAACAATTTCATTTTTAAATTTTAATTTTGGGTTTTAGAACCCAAAATAATTTTGTTAGCATATATAACCAAGATACTTGCTTTATATTAAAGACTTTTCTTAATTAATTTTTTTTGTTTCTTTATATCAGAGGTGTTCTATATTTGGTAAAGCCATTTTCTTACCACAGCCTCTTACTATATTTATCACTTCTTTTACTACTTCTGGTTATACTACTTTGGGCTATTTTCCTAATTAAGTTCTCTATTAAATGTTGGTACTACTTTAAGAGCTACTCTTCAAGATTTTATTTGCACAGTCTTCTGCAGTATTTTCTTTTGTGATCTATATTATACATAGTGTCTATTTTCTTCAAGACTTGGAACTCCTTTTAAGAATTCTTTATTGGCCAAATATATACTTTACATATTCTTACTACTACAGGGCTTTGTATCTGAAAAGTTTTTATAAGTTACAGAGATTATTAATTAAATTAATTGTCCTTAGCTAAATTTAAACTATTAATCTTATCTATGGAGAGTTGGGCATCTAGACCACTAGGCTATGGAACCCCAACCCTACAACAAATAGAAATTAACCTAATGCAATAATCCTAATATCTATAGAATATAAAATTAAGACTCTAGCTATATCTGGTTTATCTGATTATATAGTCAAGTACTCTAGAAAGTACCAACTCAAAAGGCTAATATCTAGGCTAACCTATTACTTCTATAGAGTCAAACTATTCTATACTTAATTGCACAAAGAAATAAACTTTTTGACTTAGATACATAAAACAATGACAAAATGGTAGAATTTCTTTGATACAAAGCTACTATACAATCTATTTTATACAACCTACTTGCAATAATTAGTAAGAAATTTAATTACCTTGCTACTACATTTTTCAAATCATTTACTTGGGATAAACAGTCAATCTTAGCACCAAAGAGAGTTTGAGATACTACACAGATCAAAAAATAGCAAACTAAAAACAAATTGAGTATTTGATTTTAAACTAATTACTAACCAATTATTGCCTAATTCATGTTAATTTTTGTACCAAATTTTTGATACAAAAGCTAACATGAATTAGGCAGTAATCAGTTAGTATTTAGTTTAAAATCAGATACCTGATTTGTATCTAGTTTATCATCTTTTGACCTGTGTTATTTAATATAACTCTAGAAAATACAAAAGATATCATAATATTTGCTTTATAAATAGAAATAACAAAAATCAGATTATGAAAAATCTCAAAGAAAAAATCACAATAGATTATATTACCAATATTATTTTTTTTAAAACCAACCTACATAATATTACTTGCAAAGTATTTTATTGCACCTACTTTGCTTATATTAATCAATCCATTAGCTGCAAAAATATAAAGCAAATAATTAAAAATATTCTATCAAAAAGACTCCAATCTTTTCTAAAATTAGTTAAGAATATGCATGTTAATAAAATTGTTAATTTGTCATTTTTAAACAACTAGCATAGTTTTGATAATTCTTGGGCTAGCCAATTTTTGAAAGAATTAAAAAAAAAAACAAAAAGTTTTTAAAAACAAAAGTGCAATTTTTTTATTTTGCAAAGAAAGAGTAATTTCTAGTTGGCTTTTCAAAACAGTGTTTGTATTTTGATTTTGAATATTCTATTCTTGAAAGCTGGTCATTTTACAACACTACTACTAGGGTTACTCAAAAAAATTACTGGGCTTGTTTGCTTGATATCCACTTTAAGTTTTCAGTTTAGGCATTCTAGCTTTGTTGTTGGATCTACTAATTCTGAAAGCTATGTATCTTTCTTTATTACTAAATAAAAACTTAAACATTCTAACAATCTTTATCACTAAATAAAAACTTAAGTATTCTAACAATCTTCTTTCTCATACCAGGTATTTAAAGAACATTCTAAATGATAGTTAAAAAAGTACCAGAAAGGTATAGTTAAAAAAGTTCAAAATATCAAAATATTACAAAATTAAAGAATTATTTAGAATTAATTGAAATTCAAAGACAAAAAATAAATTTGTTAGAAGATTGCTTCTTTAATGTTTAAAGATACAGTAATGCTTTTGGAACTAAAGCTAATATTTTTAAAGATTTATATGTCAAAGGGTTACTGGTACTTAGAAATACTTTTGCAAAACAAGAGAAAATAAGACAAGAAAAAAAGAAAAAAGAAGGCATGATAAAGAAAATCAAGCACCTGCACCTACTAGTAAGCTATTTTTTACCTGTATTTGTTAATAAATACACATTCTTATTAATACTTTAAAAGAAAATGGAAGGCCATGAAAGAGCATAAGATTTTACGATAAAATTGTTTTTTTTACAGTGTGGCAATATCAGCATTCTTACTAATCTTTATCATTATTAGTTCTGATGATTTGGTGTCTTGTTAATGAAGATCCTCTTGCAGCTACCTTTCCTGTCAATATTTCAGATAGCAGGACTATTGGACATCTTAAAGATGTCATTAGAAAAAATATTAATGCTCCTGACAATGTGACCTTGAGTTAATATTCCTCTTGAGGAAGGTGAGGGAAATGCTATAACACTTGATAGTATTGAAGTTAAGCGGAAATTGCTAATCCCTGCAATGAAAATTTACAGTGTCTTTGTTTCCGGTTATATATATTTATTGTGCAAACTCTTATGATCATAGATTTTTTTCTTGTTATTTTTTGTACATTATTACATAAGCACAACAATCTCGAATTAAAACTCAGTTAGCCAATAACGACTTTTAAAGCATGATCATAATTGCCTAATAAAGGTAACATAGTGGTGGCAGGAAAAAATTCGCGATTAGATGATTGTGACCTAATCAATGATTAATAAACTTACAGTAATACTGTAATAATACAGTACTGTTTAAATTGCATAAATTTTTGTAAGTTGATATTATATTCTGATTGCATTTTGAGGTTCAGAACGATAAAACAACGCTTGATCGCAAAATTTTTTTGCCATCACTATGTTACCTGCAACAGGAGGGAACGTTGTTGTTACACAATTGATTTTACACACGGTGTGAAGCACATAAAAAATTATTTTACAATACTTGATCGGACCTGATCAGTCAGATAGTACATGTTACGATTATAATCCAACATCATTTTTTAATAATAAAAAATTGTGTTGGATTATAATCATAACATGTACTAGCTGACTGATCAAGTATTGTAAAATAATTTTTTATGTGCTTCACACCGTGTGTAAAATCAATTGTGTAATAACAACGTTCCCTCCTGTTGTTACCTGCACGATAACATCGATATTGGATCATGTGATGATAAATATCATAAATTTTGTTCTGTCAGAACAAATGATTGGTTGAAATGTGCTGCTGCGCGGCATATGTCAGTCAATCATTTGCTCTGACAAAAAAATATTATTTTGTACAAGTTACAGAGAAAGACGAAAATGTTAAAGAGATATGTAAGATGCCCTGCTCGTCAACCTCCGCGTCTCCAAGGAAATGGAAGAAATATAGTGAGAACCCACTGAAAATATATAATTAACGACCTCCAGAATGCAGTGGATCACCAGTAACTCTTTCCCACCCTGTTTTCAGTCAGTATATCACCGATCATCACAATTATGAGCTAGATGTTCTGGCCAAGCAATATACACAGGTTCTAGAATTTTGCCATATAGCGGGACAAATCTATAAAAACGAAGGTGATAGGCAATGTGCATCCCGACCGTTTTTTACATCATTATTTGATGGTTCCATCGATGATGATGTGCTACTTAATAATTATTTTCTTTTTTTTTTACTAATTATTTTCGTATATACTGTAATTCTAAAAATAGGGTTTAATCAAATGAAATTAGAAAAAAAAATAAGAATTTTTCACTTTTTTATAATCAAAAATAATATTCAATTAGCAAAACTGTGTGACCGCTATCGCTAATGATTATTAAATTTTGGGAAATTGGGATTGTGTTTATAACTGTATAAAGTTTGGCTAATTATCATAAGTCTAGGTTTGTATTGGTCAACTTTAATAAGCACAATCACAATCACAGTCGTGATCACAATCGCAAGAATTAATAATCATAACGATAGGGGTCAAACAAATTTGCAAAGCGCAATTTAATTTCGCTGATAAACATCTGACCATAATAGAATGATTAATTACAGAATTACAGAATTAATTTATGTGACACTAATCTTATTTTCGAAGTTAATAAATTGCCTCTCATAACCTAGAACCGGGTCAAAGAAAAAAAAATTTTTTTTTTGACTTTATTTATTGCCCAGGTGGATTTTTGAGATGTCTATAAAAAAAACTTTACATGTTTTTATATAAAATTTTTTTTTAAAATAAAATCAAAAGCCAGGTTTCCGGGTATATTTTTAAAGTTTTAAGTTATGAGAATCAGAAATTAACTTTGTATGGTCTAAGTGTTACGTGCTAGTACATAATAATACGTATAATAATTTAATCAACAATTTTCTCTAACGATAAATAAAAGAATATTTTTATGATACACATATTAATTCTTTTTAACAGTTGGAAATTTCAAAAACTTAATCAATAAATAAAAGTTAATGAGAGAATTAATCTAACTTTATCTCAAGCGTTTACATAAAAGTAATTTTTAAAAGAAAAATTTTGAGAGACTTTGATAAATCTAAAGTTAATTCGAAATCAAAATATAAATATATATATAATTAAATATATATTCAAAATATAGAATTAAATATATAATTTTCGTGAAACAAAATTTTAAGAGGAAACAAAATTTAATAGGAAATAAAATTTTTAATAAGAAATAATATATTTTAATAGAATAAACAACAATTAAACCTAACATTTATTAGCTTCAGACATTAAAGGAGCCAGTTTACCTAGTCGAGAAAGTTTATTTGACCATTGTTCAAATGTTTAAATGAAAATCCCAGCAATCTTTTCTATAAATGTTTTATAGATTTTTTATTTGGCGACACAATTTTTGATAAATCATTTACAAAAATAAAGAATTAAAATAGATTAAGGTTAGGATAAAGTTAGGGTTTAAGGTTTGGATGGTTCGGATAGGGTTCAGATAAGAAAGGAATTTTTTACTTTTTATTGGGACTCAGAAGATGGTTTAATAAGCAAAATACCGAGGTAATATATGTAAGTGTCTGTGTTTAATGTACAAATAGTAAAAAAGTAAGCTCACATTTAGTCATATAGATTAGCAAAAAAGTAGGTTACATTTAGTCATACGTACTGTACGTACTGTACGTACGTACAGTACGTATGTATATATACAGTATATTATGCATGACAGGTTTTTGTCGCGTTAGTTTGTTCCCTGTATATGTATTAAATTATCACACGTATTTGCATAAGAATTTATATTATTATTTGAAAGATTGTAACGTTTTTTATGTATTCATTAACAAGATATATAATATATATATAGTGTTATTTAATATATTTAATCTATATTTAATCTATATATTAATCTATATATTTAACCTATATATTTAATATATTTAATCTATATATTTAATTTATTATATTTAATTTATATATTTAATCTATATCGTTAGTTTATTAAAAAGTTGAATCCTCTTAGGCAAGACACTAGTGAGATATTGCTTATAGGTTTTTTTCACTTGGCACCCCTAATTTCCTTTTTGCGACTTATAAATCTTATAAATCTTATAAATATGAATTATAATATTTTTTATTATTGAAAATTAAAGCTTATTAAAGTAGGTCCGAAGATCGGACCGAACTATTAATGTAGGATTAGTCTTATTGTTTCGTCTTGAAACTGACGTTTTATATTACCTGTCACTACAGTAAAAAAAAAAATTGGAATTATTATATCTATATAGAAGTGTAATCATGACATTTATATTTAACAATAGTTATTTTATTTTAACTCGATTAATCTCTATTTTAGTATTTATAGTAAAACTTTCAAAAAATGTGTCAATCTTTTATTATATATGCTAGTAAATGCCTTTTTTTTAAAGAAAAATAACCATTTTTTCGATCATTTTGTTTAATAAACACGGAATAGAAATTTATAACGATGTTCATATATTTAAATTAACTATTTTTGATCGAGATCTAAAAATAGAAATGTTACCATGTCAAAAAAGAGTTATTTCTTTGACCAATTCTGTAATTAGATATATTTTTTTATTATTATATAATTCCGTTAAGATAAGTTATTTACATCATATGTAATCTCGTAAGATATGCTGTATATTCTCGTTGAGTAAACCATATCAGATATGCCGTCCTACGAAAATAAACTGCTACACGATACCATATATTTTTAATTTTAGATTTTTGTAAGAAGGGGTTTCATTATTTGACATGTTCAAATCAAGGATTCTATCCTTCTAAAAAATCAAGTTATAAAAAAAAAATGTTCATTATATAGTATTAAAATTATTTATTTGTTTATACTGTAATCGAAGATATATACCAAATTTAACTTCTTAATATGCGAAGTGTGAAAATTGTATTGTTCTGAATTTATATCTTTTAAGAAATTATAAATTGTTTAAAAAGTACCTCAAAAATCAATTGTGAAACACTAAAACTACTAAATTTTATCATTTGTTTTTAATTATTCGTAACCGACTAATAAATGACTAATGTTTCATGTATGAAAAGTCGAAGACAGTAATTAATTGGTTCGAATTATGCGTATCCTCAGGTAACACTTCAAGCACTTCCATTATTGGAATACGAAAGATATAAAGATCTTCAATATGATTTGCATGGAATTCCGGTAATTTTGTTTTTTTTTGTTTTAAAAAAAAAAAAAAAAAAAAAACTTACCTCGCTGGATCGATGGTATCAATAGCAATATAATTTATAATAATTGGCTTGTGTATAAATTATTCACATCTATTTATAAAAAGGAGTAATAATCAAATAGTTGTGAGATCCCTTCATTTTTTTTTATGACTTCTTTTTTTAGTTGACTTTAGAATGATTATTTAGTTAGTCCCTTCTAGATTAATTTAGTGCTTTATTTTTTATTTTTTAATTTTTAATTTTATATTTTTTTTGTTACTTGATTATTTTAAACATGAGTTCACCATCACCGAAAGTTAATCATATTAAAATTTATCCATGGTCTCAAAGAAAATTAAACAAATTTAATCCTTTTCCACGTAATGGTCACTCTGTGAGTGATACGATAAATAATGAAATATTCTTTTTCGGTGGTTTTGTAAACGAAAAAGCCACAAATGAATTATTTGTTATTGATGTTAGTAAGTACGCGAGAATGTTTTAATTTCGTAATTCTTTTTTTATATTTTTTTCCCCGTGATTTTAAATTTTAATTTTTGTTTAGATGATCTTAATGTCGTTCCAGTAACCACTGTTTCCGGTGATATCCCTCGACCTCGAAGTCATCATACACAAATTACTTTTGAAAATAAAATTTTAGGTATATGCCTATTATTAACGTTAATTGATAAGGTATTGATAAAGTATTAATCTAAAATTATTATTATTTTTTTAGTATTTGGTGGCGGATCAGAAAGATTTGGGGATAAATTAGATGATAATATTTACATATTTGACGCTGGTAATATTAAATTACAATCTTTATTCTTTATTCGTAACACAACATATATATATATATATATATATAATTTGACTACAATATATACGATAATATATAATAGAAACAAAGTATTGGACTAAACGTTTTTTAAAGGGACGTCCACCTAACGGTCTTATTGGTCATTCTACTTCTTTAATTGGATCCGTTGTTTATATATTTGGTGGGCAAAATGGTATAAAATATTTTAATGAAATGGTAGCATTCGATCTTAAAGTTCTAAAGTTACAACGAAAAAGAAGTAGATTGAGTAAATTCTCTTTAAATCGAGGTAAATATGCATTATTTTTATCATATTATCAGTATTGGCTATTTAATTAATGTAAATAAATGCATTAATCATAAATTTTAAAAATAGCAAGCACCCCTGGCTCTCATTGGAACTACATTATACCAAATAAAAATGAGTACTCTGTTCCTCCATGCAGAAGTGGTCATACTGCGTGTGAATACAAAGATAAAATTTTTATGTATGTCATTTGCTACGTTTGCCAATACAATTTATACAATTTATATAATTTTATAATTATATATTTGTTATATTTATTATAATTTTTTTTTTTTTCAAAAATTTCAAAAAATAATTACTCATTTAATTATTCTTGCATTCTTCTAGATTTGGTGGATCAAATGGCGAAAAATGCTTCAATGATACATGGTGTTATGATACATTGAATGGTACTTGGTCGGAATTATCTTGTACCGGTTATGTCCCCACACCTCGTGAAAGACATGGAGCTGCTCGTGTTGATGATTTCCTCTATATTTTTGGTGGGAAAACTCATGAAGGAGATGTATTGGGAGATTTATTTGCTTTTAAAATTACAAGTTGGTTCTTTTTATTTGTTATACGCGTATTATTATTTTCTTTTCTTAAATCTTTACTTACACATAGATTAATTTAGGTCAGAGGTGGTATAAATTTCCAGAAATGGGTCCTACAGCTAGTCCTCGATATGATCTTTCCATGGCTGTAGTTGATCATGACAAGATTTTCATTTTTGGAGGTGATTCGAATGGTTCCATAAAGCCTGATGCTGATGGAAATATTCATGTATTAGACACGTGTAAGTTTTAGTTTAATGTATTGCTATGCAGAATATTTATATATAAGTATTAGAAAACTTATTTATATATACGTATTAGAAACTTATTCATATAACTATTATCATTTCTACATTCAGCAAAGATAAAGTTCCCTTCGGATACCCACACTCCTAAACAAACTGTTCATCGTAAAAAATTATCGATTACACCTCCGTTAAAAATGGCAATACAACCAAAAGAGAATTCTATTGCTGAAGATTTAGAAGAAACCAGTTCATCTTTAAAATCATCAAAGGCCTTAACACATTCAAAGCAACCTTCATTAGTTGAATCTTCACCAGATGTAATATCAAGTCGTACTATTGCGCCAAGATCTTCAAGTCTTATTCCATCAAATAATACTCAATTACTTTATGATGCCTCCGGTGAAACTATACCAAATCAATTTACTTTATCGTCATTATCAACGTCTTCATCATTACAATCTATAAATGAGGTCTCGGAAAAAAATTTATCAAAGCAACAATCTATTGAAATCACTCTACCCATACAATCATTAGTTGAAAGTCATCGAATACGTCTTTCTCAACAAGATAGACAGTCTTATGATACTTTTGGAAAAGCTAAAACTAAAAGTCTTGGAATTAGTCCACCTATCGAAAGTGATAATTCAAAACACCCATTATTAGATGATGATTTTTATCAGAATTCTCCAACTTCCCCAGTTGAATCGGACTTAAATGCTTATGAATTAGTTACATTGAATAAGAATGGAACGTCAAAGCAGTCTCCAAATATAAATGATTTCGAAAGTGAGTCATTTTCTTTAACACCTTCATCATCATTAGAAGTATCAAAAACTTTTCAAGTTATGATAGAACAAATTCCTTCAAATTCTTTAGAAACGGACGTCCTCCTTTCTAAAAAAATTATTTCCGAAAATCAATTCACGAATTCTTATAATGATGATTTATTTAAAGATTTTGATAATTTAAATAATTCATTAGAAAATTCAAAGACAAATAGTATTGGAAATTTTATGCTTAAAAATGAAGAAATTAAATCTTTAGAAAATAAAAATTCTCAATCTTCTGCAAAATCTTTTATGTCAAATGAAATTAGTACTCAAACTCAACGTGACACTTTTATTATTCGTGAAAGAAAAGAGAAACGTCCAAATGGTGCTAGGCCGCTTATTAATAAATCTTATATTCAAAATAGTATGGAAAGTTCTAATATGCAAGAAAATATTGATATTAGAAACATAAAAGATATAAATAATGGTATTAATTCTCCGGTTTCGGATCATATTGACGGTTCTGAAGAGATCGACGAAGATCGTAATATGTCTCCATTACAAGAAGATCATTCTGAGGTTACATTATCATCAAATAATGATATAATGAATATTATACCTTCAAAAATAATACTTAATAATTCATTACGAGAAGATCAACCATCAAATTCTGATTTATCAAATCTTATACCTTCCCACTTAATACCTGATAATGAAATATCTGTACCTGTACCAACTCCTACGACCAGTTCCACTTATGTAAATGATTCTCAAACTTCCGAAGATGAAAGAGATAATTATATTAAAGAAGCTGTACAACGTGATCCGAATTCTGTTGAATTTGAACAACATGAAAATTGGTTTAAAAATGATTTAAATTCTGCTAAAAAATTAGGTTATAAATTGGATTTAAATGATGATGAAAAAATTTCTGATGAATTAGATTTTGAACAATTATCTAAACTTTTAGATCCAAATAGTGAAAAATATAAAATTATGCAATCTATTTTTCAAATGCAACAAAGATTGAAAAAAGCAAAGGTTAGTATACAATATTATTCTTATATTTATTATCATATAAATTTTTCGTTTTTTTTTTTTTTAATTCATTTAATTTATTTTTTACGTCTTTTTTTTTTATATATATAATAGGAAAGTATAGCTGGTCAAGCTTTAATTGCATCGCAAAAAATTGCTGCGGCAGAACAAGCTCACGAAGCAGCTATTCAAGAAGCAACTTATTATAAAAGTAAGATAGAAAATTTAATAAATAGTTTAGATCCAAAATATCGAACTACAGAAATGGAAAAAACTATGAAACTTGAAAAACAATTAACACAAGTTATAAAAGAAAATATTCAATTACAAAATCAATATGAAGAATATTATCAAAAATCAGTTAATAATGAAAATTCTTTTAAAAATTTTGATGATAATAATTATTTAATAACTAAAAATTCTCAAAGTCCAATTTCAAAAAAATTAGCAGATCTTAGAACTCGTATACTTTCAACTGAAACTCAACTTGATGAAAGTAATTTACAATTAAAACAAGCTAATGGTGAAATAACAAAATATCAACAAGATGCTGAAAATTCAAAGATGCGATTTACTCAATTACATGAATCACTTGAACAACATTATACAATATTTGAACAAATCAATAATGCAATTACAACAACAAATGAAAGGACCAATGAATTGGAAAATTTATTAAGAAGAAGTAGAAAAGAGAAAACTAAATTGGAGAATAAAGTAGCTTCATTAAGAATTGATTTAGAGGTTAAAGAAGAAGAATTAAATCAAGAAGCTGATCGTTCTGATAAAATTGGAAGGTTATTAGAGAATGAACAAAAAGAAGGAAAAATCTTGAGATCTATGCTTCAAGAAAGTATGAAAGAATTATTAAATATTTCTTTATGGAAGTGATAAAAATATAAAGGTATAATATAATGTATTATCATGTAGATTTATTGGGATTTTTTTGGGATCGTTTATTGTATATTTTCTTTTATGTTTTTTTTTTATTTTATTTTTTTAATCGTGTAGATTGTATGTTTTTAAAAAAAAGGCAAAAATCTATACATATGTATGACATTTTGTATTATAGATATAGTTATTATTTATATTCAATTCATATATCTAACCTTATATTATATATAGCGTCTTTTATGTATTATCTATATTATTATTATTCTTTTGAATAAAAGAACACTTTATTCTATGATGTCTTTTTTTCCCCATAACATACAATTACCTTCAGACTGGTCTCGAATCGATTTTTAGTATAATAGATGTTTTTTTTGTAGTTCTATATTTTAATTAATTATATTAAATAATTGGTGCGAATTTACGTACAGTATCTGGTATAAACATCGTATATATTATTTTGAATCTATTTACGAATCACAATTAATGCCAGACTTTTATTTGCTTTCAGTCTCGGAAGTCTAGGAAAATTTGTCGTATGCGATATAGTGATGGGCAACGCGCGGAATCCCGCGCGTGATCCCACGCGGAACACGTATTGTTGTAATAATACGAATACTGCTAGCATACCCGAAATATTCCGATAAAATTTGACACTATTCCGCAATATTCCGAAAACAAGAAACCTGCCTGGTTGATTGATTATTTATCCCGCGCGCGAATCACACACGGATCACGCGCGAGTCCGCGTTTTGCCCATCACTAATGAGATCTGTAGTTACAATTAGAGTTAAATAGAAATTACAGTATACGTTTATTTCAGGCACTCATTTACAGCCCAAGCGCTAAGGATTCGCACTACGTTTTACAAATTTTTAAAGCTACTATTTTTACAATTTAAAAAAATCTGCATAATAAAAATACAAATGGCTAATATGTATCAGTTAAATTAAAAAAAGTGAACTTGAATACTCGTTAATAATATTTAATATAATCATTCTCATCTTTGTGACTCTTAAATTTTAAACACAGCCAATTGCGGCATTTCTTCAATAAGGTCATTATTAGAAATTAAACTATCAATAAACCCTCTTGTAGGTCCATACATAAGTTTACTCCACGTCTCTTTATGTTGATTTATATCATTTTCACTATCATTTTTTTGATTTTGAAATTTTGGTAATACATGTTCAATAAAAATTTCATAGATACCCTTCCCACCAATTTTAGTAGATACATTAAACTGAATGTTCCAAGTAATTAACACTATTAAAGTTAATATTCCTAAAGCTTGACCTTGTACATACAAAGCAACCTTTCTATCAAGTGCGCGAACAAGCGCATCCGAAAATAATATGTAAATGAGATTGTTCGGATGAAGATGTGCGTTCCATGTGTAACATAAAGGGATTGTAAGTAACGAGGCACCAAGTTCGGCTAAAAAAAAATTGCATCAATTTATTATTTATACTAAATAATTAAAATAATTAGATCAAAATTATATAATAATTTACCAGCTCGGTAGCCAACTCCTTTTTTGCTAATGGTAAGTATATCCTAACAACCATTTGAATTCATTAATTTATAAGATAAAAAAACAACCAACATAAAAGAAATTAACAAACGTAAAAATTAATCAACCTCTACAATTAAGTCAACAAAGATCTTCGGCCCATGAATTTCTAAACATGATCGAAACAAACTAATATCTAAATGATGTGATCCCCGCCATGACAGATCTAAAGATAAGTCCATCTGAGGAGATTCAATATCATATTCAATGTTCATATTGTTCGATGTGGATTTTAATTGACGTCCACCATAAACAATAGATTTAAACATTATCCAAAACCGCGAAAAAAGTGTCTCATATGGATGTTTTGAGGATGTTAATACTGAATTCATATTTTTGAGGTATATGTTAGTCATTGAAAATGCAGTATATTGAAATAATTGACACGGCTGAAGCTGGAAATTTAAATATTTTTAATACGAAATTTTCAAAAGTTTTTGGTTTCTTAATAGTTATAGGGTTAATTTTTAAAATAAAAGAGTATATGTGGATTTTGATAGGGTTTATATTTTTAAATCGAGGTCCCAATTTCCAGCTTCAGCCGCGACAATAATTATTTATTAATAGGAATACCTGGTTCATTACGTGTAGCAGCAAGCTTTAACTTGATATCAGTCTCGGTATCCTCTATAGATGGTAAACTACCTGCTGAATTATCTAAAATATTCATTACTTTATTTGCTACTAATCGCGCAACTGAGACAGGAAAATCTTTTGATGATATCAATAATTTAAGGACCTTTGATGATATTGTGTTCTGGCTATTAATTTATGTTAGATATAATAATATTAGATATAGTTATAATTATATTAGATCTTAATTATATTAGATATAAGATACCGTATTTTCGCATAATAACGCTCACTTGCGCGTTATTTTTAGTACGCGCATGAGCGTTATTTTGAGACAATAAAAATTTTATGTAATTCTTGTATAAAAGTAAACAAACAAAAAATACTAGATTTAGTACAAAGTAACCTTCCTTCGAGCTTTAACAAAAATTGTTCTGTAAAACAACTTTTGTTGAAGTTCGAAAGTTTATTTAGTAATAAATCCAATCCAAACTATTTTTAAATCTTACTATATACTAAGCTAATGCACAGCATTGTATGTCCGGAGCCTATAACTATCGTTTGTTTTGTCAAATATAGTCATGCATCAAAAACGTAACTTTTGTCACGTGTACGGACAGGCATCTTTTCAAAGTTATGTTTTTTATTTAATATATCAAAAACGTAACTTCGGTATCACTTTACTGTCCATTAGGTGTTCCCCGCTACGCTCCGGACAATAAACATCCCTTACTATGGGTGCGCTATTTTAGGACGCACGCGCATGAGCGTTATTTTGAAACTATATTATTTTAGAGGGCACTATTTTCGAAATAACGCTTATGGGCGTTATTAAGTGAAAATACGGTAAATATAAAACAAATCAAAATTTACCCTTTAAAGAAAACATCATCGCATAACCACTGAATAGCTCCAACTAATGCATATGATGAATGAGGATTCAAAAAAAATTCAAAATTCGTCAATAGTGTTTCAAATGTTACCGCAGTAGCATTCTCGGAATCTTTGTCGATTCCATCAAGTGCTTGTTTAAATATTGTTGGCGCCAACTCTATTAAAATTCGTGGATTTGTCGCCCTGAATAAAAAATCATGTTAAAAAATTTGAGTAAGGCCACGTCATTAATCTAAATAATTACAATCATAATAAATATATAGCATACATTATAAGTTCTTTAGGAATATCTTCAATTACAGACATCACTTTAACCCAACAATCGACCATAGCAGCCTTTTCCGAATTAAGGGATCCCTTTTCATATACAACTGATGATTGGAGAATCCACATATGACAAAAACCTTTTTCATCTCGTAATATATCTTTAAGGTTCTTATATAACTTGAAAAAAGAAATGATAGAGTTTTAATAGAATTAATAAAAAATGCCACACAATTTATCTGATTATGGGATAAGCATACTGTTTTTTACCTCATATCTATCAATTATATTGACAAAAAATAAAAATATAGTACCAAAACTTTCACAATCCTGAAGATAAGATTCTACCATAAGATTATCAAATATTATGTATTATTATATTCAGTTATATTTTTACCTTGGACGTTTAATAATAATAAGAATAATCTGAAATCTTACCAAAATTATCATCATTGGGTTTTTCCCATGTATTACATAATCGTTCCAAAGGTTGTAAAATTTCAGAAGGACGGTGGTATAAATGAATAATATCGAGGAGAGCAGAATTCTCACTAAGAAGACGACATAATATTGACAAATGTCGTAAATTTCGATTATTACTCCACTCTGTTATTAGCTTAATAAGTAAATATGAATAATAAAATTTAGGATATTTCAAATATTTATTTATTGATAATAAGTATAATATAGTATGAATATTTACCCTTAATATCGTTTCTATTCTTGATTCCTGATCCAAAAAACGTTTAGGAATCACTGACACGAATTTTTCTATCATTTCGTTATTAGGATCGTCTAAAATGCTGCCAGCATACGAATCGGTTTCCTAGTGACATAATACTGTTATAGTAATGTCAATACTAACAAACTTTCAAAACTACGTTGAAAATCTTATCAATGAAATACCATAGAATCTGATCCACTCCATTCAAGTTCCAATTGTCGTAATACAAACTCTCGCCTTAAAAGATTCCTTTTAAAGCACGCTTTCAAGATATCAACTGACATATCAGCAACCCTAGGGAATAAAAAAAATAACGCATTTTTTACTATTCATCAAAATTAATGGATAAATAAATACTAATATAATATTGACAAAAGGCTCACTGAAAAATATCTTCAATTGCCCCTTCCAAGTGCTGATTACATGCATTAAACAATCCTCGAAACCCGGACAATTGATTAATCACACATTCATGACGCCCGTACTATAATAAATTAAAAAATTAACGTCAAAAACATATCATGTCTGCTAGATTCGAATTTTTACAAATTAGAAAACATACTTTAATCTCTTCAGTTTCACCAATTTTTGATGATTTTCTTGCTTCCAGCTTTTCAATTAATGCAGGGAGCTAACATGAATTATTAGATTAATATTAAACCATTTTAAATTATTAAATAATAAACGATAATTAAACCAAATTACCTTAACTAGAACAAAACTTTTCCATAAAAGGGCATGACCTCCTGAACCTGAATAATCGATATATTCTTCTGCTAATCCAGTTAGAGCGGCCATCCATAATTCAATATAAAAGACATGATCAAAAGCACCCTAGATTTGCTCGGTTTTTTATCGATTCAGAAAATGATAGAATTAAGAATTTGATCTTATAACTAATACTAACCTTTGCACGTTGTAATTTTTCTAAATATTCAACGGCCGCATCATCATCCATTACCGGACGATTTTGAACCTGTAAAAATATACATCGACTAAATTAAATGAATAATTTCGATTCATATCAGCAAAATATGAATAGATACCTACTAAATTATATACGAAAAACATGATAGATACGGAAGGTAGTGCAAGTGTATCGCTGAATATTGCCATTTTTGTTTTATTATGAGCTTTTTTTTAAAAAAAATGTTTTCTAACGATTTAGGTATTTCATAAATTCAGTACTAAGAGAAAACTTATCTAAGATTGAGGGGTATAGATTTTAGTTATTAGTAATTATGTATGTAATTAAATATAGAAACAAGTTACACATCCCGTGGTTACTTGTGTAATGTTGAAAATTCGTGAAATTGATTGGTTGATTTACAAACTATATACTGTACCGACGAAAAAAAACTCTTCAAATTCGAAATAGCTCTAAACCAAATCGCAATTGCTAAACGTTTGTTATTAAAAAGCTGTGAAGAAACGAAGTTACAAATTTGAAATGTGGAAGCTATGGGTACGGGCCTCATATAGACATGAAGTAAAGTTAAGAATCCAAAGATACGATTACTGGAGAGGCGATTATATGTAGCTGAAAATAAATTACATGTAGATCAAGATCAAAGGTCACCCACCACTTTGCATAAATTTGCTTTACCTGAATCTTTCGAGTTTATGCCAGAGATTTTACCAGGCCTACCGAATAATTGATTGTAGGAGCATTTAATTGCAATTTTTCAAGCTCAATTAATTGATTGGTGGTGCAGTCACAATTGGTCAATTAATTGCAATTTTACGTAATTAGATAATATCGTATATTCACGATAATGATTTTTGATTTTTCGCAGATTAGGTTACACAAGTGAAAGAAAATTGAATTAATTGCAATTATTTCGTCATTAATTGGGTTTTTTAAACATGCACAATTAATTTATAAGATAACAGCAAGATAGTGCTAAAATATATTATTATTTATTTATGCAATACAATTTAATCCATTAATATTTAACTAGCATAGTAAGTCCTTTTGGTATGTCATATAACAAATTTATCCATTATTTAAATCAATATAAGTTTGATATCAATAAAAATTAAAGATATAATTTAATTCAATATGTTTTATTTGGATTATTAATACCAATTAAATGTAAGATAGTTGTATAAAAAAAAATAGTGTATATCAAAGCTTATTACAAATATGAATTTAAAAATTTTAATGTGTGCATTTCGCTCAGAATCTTAAAACCCATGAGCACTTTGCGCACATATTGTTGGTCTTTAAGGCGCGAAAAATTTTTTTGACGTGTGATCCTCCCCTTTCGCACATTAATTTTCAACACTGCTGGTACTTATAAAGTAATTTTAAAGGAGAGAAATAAATACTGAAAAACATTAACCAATGATTCTGGTATTTATAAAATAATTTTATAGAAGAGAAATAAGTACCAAAAAACATTAACCAATGATCCTAGTACTGTATTATAATTTTATAATAATTTATTTGTTCATCTATACTATAGAAGATCCACATCGCTACCCCATTTTCGCATCATGTAATGTCAGGTTCCAATATTCAAACCTGCTTGTAATTAGTGATCATTATAAACGGGTTTGAATATTGGAACCCCAACATCACACGATGGGTAACGATACATCACTATGGCGGTAAATTACAAAGCCCTTAAATTGAATATAATTTTAAGTTTTTATTGGTATTGGTATGTAACTAACTATATAAATATTTAAAATAATTTTTTCTAATCAGTGTTTCGATCTTCTGGTAAGTACAAGATAATGATAATCACAAAACAAAAAAATTGTAATGATACAGAATTATAAAAACCAAAAATCATCTAATTGTTACAATATGATTTATCAAACTTTATCATTATAAGCTTAATTATCATCATCAACTCCATCATAATAACCATCTTCAGCTCAATCATCATCTTCTCCATCATCGTCGTCATCATCATCGTTGTCATCATCATCGTCGTCATCATCTCCATCGTCATCATCACCTTCTTCATCTTCAACTTCATAATCATCTTCAACATCATCTCCATCATTTATCGCTGGTGTAGATGTAGATGTTGAGATAGCAGTTGTAGTAGTGGGCACAGGTTTAGTAGTAACATCGCGAATGTGTAAACGGTTATATGCTTATGACACGTGATAACAAGAAATTTAATGCTAATATTTTAAAAAGAACTCTGAACAAAATAAATAAATAAACACTTACGAGATCTTGCAAGAACAATAGTTGGCAAGATTAAGAAAAGGATGAAAAATTTAAACTGCATGTTTAAAAATTTAAAGATTTAGGAAATAAAAGTTTTTTTTTATTTTTATTTTTTTTTTGTAAATTTTTGTGAAATTTTATAGATCTCGAAGAATTATGAGAAATGGTTGGTAGCCAGTGTTTTATATCTTTTTTTCCGAATATAAATTACGAAAATAACTTTATTACAAAATATAAAGTAGCATAAATATATGAAAATCGGATTTTATATTATTAAAAGGATTTATTAATCTTGAAGACGAAGATTTATTGCATTATTGCATTCTAAAACAAGTATGCATAACTATAGATAAACTCAATTTTTATTGAAGCGCGTTCAACTATGAAATCGGCTAAAAAATTAATGCTACAATAGTATGATAATATGTGGCAAATGATCCATAAATAATTTTTAATTATAAATTTAGTTGCATCAACGCTAAAATTCTCAGGAGTTAATTATTATGAACGGTTAACGAACAAATTTTCGTTAATATCTACTATATACTAATATTGAGATCGCGTGAACTTATTAGAAAATAATGCAATGTTACACTAGTATTTAATTAATGAAAATTAATTATTCCATTATTTTACTATGCAAATTAATGCTTAACGTTAGTAGTCAATAGTAATGTATTATTTAAGTTTTTCTATCACGAAAAGAAAAAAAATAGTTGAAATTTAATTATCGCCTCTTGATCAACAAAAATTTTACAGATCGCAGCTCACATGTACAATCTCGTTAGATTGTGCGATTAAAGTGATTAAGTTCATATTTTATAAGTTATGATTTTCTTATATCTATATCCTCAAAATAACACCTATATTCTCAAAAATAACTTCCCACAATCGCGCGCGATCGGACAACAATCATGATTGTATGTGTGAGCTGCGATCTGCAAAATTTGATCAAAGATACATCATTTTGCAAACAGCAATAAACAATAACAAGAATTTAAAGCAACTCCTTGAAATGTTTCAAAAATTTAATGAATGTTAAAGAAAGCAATCATATGAATCAATGGAAGGAGTTTATTTAAACTGATGAAATTAAACCGATAAGATTATTAATTAATTAAATGAAGCCATCAATGCATTTGAAATTGTTATTAGTGCTTAAATTTTGACGCAAGTATCCTGGCTTTTTTTTTTGGCGACACAAACTACAGTAAAATGGGGCTTATTTAATACAGTATTTTCTGCGTAAAAAGAATTATTCTTACAATTAATAAGAAACACTTATGTCGCACATAAATGAATTTATTTCTCGATTAATTTTATTTTTTTAATTAATATGTCCATTTTGTTGCCCAGGTCTTGATATTTAAATTTTCTTTAATATTTTAATTAAAATTAAACTGAGGTAAGGCTTTTTTTTTCTTTTTACCCCTTCACTCCCAAAAATATTAGTTAATATATTGTATGTCATTGTTCTTATTTGAAAAAATTAAACTTCTTAAAGCATTATTATCGTTATACTGTATATAGTGATATTAGCTTAAGATTCTGATATGATCGGTCAGGAGCCTACGACTTCGTATATTCCCATCTATACTATCCATCTAATCATCACCTGGATCTATTTGAGTAATTTTGCTTAAAATTGGGTCCATCTTGATTTAGCTTTGCGTACGTGCAGTACCGGTATCTGGTATGTAACTCCTAAATTAATAATAATTATTAAATGTTATACGTATCGATATATCAATGTTCACTTGAATTAAGCTTAACAAACTGCCCAACCTTGTTTAGTGCGCCGGGTGCGTCGAGTGTAACCCGGGTTTGCGCATGAGGAGAGCATTTCGAATGCAAAGTAAATTTCCAATTCTATAATAGATTTTGAAATTTTATTCTATATTCGCAACATAGGAAGATGTTCCCATCATGCAAACCTGGGTTACACTCGACGCATCCTGACGCACTAAACAAGGTAGGGCAGCTGTTAAAGACCTCTGCAAATGATTCATATATAACGATAATGTTATCAAATCTGCAGATAGTATAGTGACAAATATATGCTATATAACTTTACCACCTTTGATTACAAACTCATAACTATAATTTTTTACATGAGATAATTTTTTTATCTTATTCATAACTATAATTTTTTACACGAACTGATTTTTCTTAACTATAATAGGATTTTTTAAACCAACCGCATGCCTTAGATATTTTCCAAATTTTTTAGATCTCCTGGTGTATTAAAAGTAATGTAAAACGTTTTTATAAAGTTTAGGGTCGATTTTAAAGTTTCTTTGATCATTTTACTTCATTATAAGTATAAACTAAATTTCTAATAGTATTTAATTATTAAGAATTTTTAATTTTTCTAATTTATATCACCGAATATTCATTGAATTTTTAATCAATGAATAACAAATACATTGAATATTCGTTTGTAAAATAATTATATATTCGAACATCTCGAATGAATAAACTGGGCCATCCAAATTACCAAGTACCGGGGTTATAACCAAGTTAATATATGTAGTATTGTCGACTATTGATTCCAACTCAGTAACTTATCGACCCGATCATAGAAAATTCGGTTACTCCTATCATCTTAGAGTGATATTACTCTTATACCTTGAGACCGAGGCTAGTCCTGCATTTAAAGAGAATTTAATTTGACCTGCTATAATAAGTGGCCTTATTTTATTATGCACAAAATTTTTGATAGAAAACAATAAAAAAATTTAAGCTGTTCACAAATATTTAATAGTGTTCTCATGAGCATTCTAATTTCGAACGTTAATATACAGTATTAGTTATCAAGGAGGAAATCATAATAAAAAGAGAAAGGTTCTCACGAACTGCTCTTAATAAAATTATGACATACCTTTAATTTTAATACATCTACAATCCTTATTTTCGACTGTATATT